AGTTTAAAGACAGTACATCGACAGCAGCTAAAAGTAATGCAAAGTTCTAAACTTGGTATTTGAAAGAGGTACCATTTGTCAATGGAAGGTACTGGGTAAGGGAGGGGTACCTTTTCTCTCAAAAAATATTACATGGAAGGGTAAGGAGCTGGACTTCAAGGTAACCTGAGATCAGGCCCAATTTTAGCGGTTTTCATACATTCTCTCTAACGGGTACCGCTTTTTGTTTCACCCTGCCCGCCGGAATGTTATTTTCAAAGCGAAACGAAAATAGAGTCTGATTTTAGGTTAACCTCAAGGCGGATCTTTCCAGGATAAAACTTTGCTGCGGAACCCCCCCAAGGGGGGGGCAGATGTTTTCTAACCCTGACAACATTGATTATTTCTTATTAAGCAACATTCACTTGTTTTCTGTTTCTGGGTAGGATACACTTTCGTTTTTCTAACCACCTCGAAGGATCTCGAAGCAACGGCCAAGGTAAGCTTCTAGTTTACTAGCTGGCGGTTCCGTGTATGAGAGACGTAGACGTAGACGTATTCCAGTTTGTTTCTGCTCGAAAAGCATTCTTTGTGGCGCAGTCAAGCGAAAACAGGACTGAATATGTCTGCGTTTGCTGGCCACATAATCACCTGTTTCGCAGAGTTCTCCCATGTAACCAGACTGGCATTCGCAAAGAAACCTCTTGTCCGTATATCCAAGGAAACACTTTGCATTGTTCAAGCAAGGTTTATAGGCACAAATATTCTAGTGAAAATGAAAGCGTAATTTAGATTTCATGAAATTTTAATATTATATTGTAGGAGTCTTGTAGACTTCGAGCAGTTCCCTACTCAGTCTGTCAAATCGAGACTTGGCAGAGCTCGAGAGAGCGAACCAATCGAGAAGGAGGGTCTGAATGGGGTTTGATGTTTGGTGTTATTTACCCGTAATTTTGAGTGTTTGCTGTTAAATTAGCCAATTTTTTAATGTTTACTGTTTCCGAAGAAATACTGTCAAGTGTTTGGAGGGTTCTTCGGACATCTTCGGCAATGATCGGACCTCTTCGTCAGTCTTCGGAAATCTTCTGAAATAACCCGGAATTGTCGTAAAATGGCCAAAAACTCCTTGATATACTAAAAAAGTAATATTGGCCTTTTTGGAACCGTTTTTGCTTCTATCTGGGAAAAAATTAGTTTCAAAGAATCTTTACTGTTAGTGTTTAAATGCCTAAAATTAACTATTTCATGTTACAAAGCCAAAAAATGAAGTGTTTAGTGTTATCTTGGTACCTCCCCATTCAGACCCTCGAGAAGAGAACTGGAGAGAGGCTTTTCCTCTTCCGTCTTCCCCCTTGCGCGTTTGCCTCGCTCGCTCGCTCACACGTAACATTCTCGCACGCGCGACAATCCTGAGAGACTGCAAGTAGTCAATGCTCCCTATTACCATTCTCATCATTATTTTATGTCTTCTTCATTTCCACTCGACAGATCTTTGGCTAGACTTTGTAAAATTCCATTTTGGTTGGCTGTCTGGAGGGAAGACGGACAAGTGCAATCTTCGGGAGAGAACCGAAGACACGAGCGGTCACTATAACAGTTAACCGAAACAGGAAACCGCATATGAAAAGTCTCTGACACCCAAGGGTCGTCATCACTATCTTTTGATCGCCAGTGTCATCATCACTTCCATAGCTAAAACTTCACTTTTTGGGCTATGAATAGTTAAACGCTTACCACAAGATAATTCACAACCATTGCCGTCATTAATTTATTCCAGTGAAATTCGCCCTACCTGTGTACCTTTATACGTCCAACCTTCCCTCGGTTTTAAATCATTTGGATGCTGTATGTGATCTGAGTTACACAACTCACAGACCCTCATATCATTAATTGCTGGACCAATGTTGACTGCCACGCACTCTCTCCGGTAAAGACATTCGGTTTCGCAAGATTTGCTTGCTCCAATGGAAAGGTTTAAAAAGGTGTGGCCTTGAAGATACATATAAAGGCCATACTCCCGATCAAAAAACTTCAAATACCGAATGTGACCACAGGTATCTAAAAGATACATTTAAAAAAAATAGCGATGTTAACGTCTATTGTATTTTATTTATTTTATTAGCTTTGCCCTTAAGAATACAGAAAAAAAAAANTATAACAGTTAACCGAAACAGGAAACCGCATATGAAAAGTCTCTGACACCCAAGGGTCGTCATCACTATCTTTTGATCGCCAGTGTCATCATCACTTCCATAGCTAAAACTTCACTTTTTGGGCTATGAATAGTTAAACGCTTACCACAAGATAATTCACAACCATTGCCGTCATTAATTTATTCCAGTGAAATTCGCCCTACCTGTGTACCTTTATACGTCCAACCTTCCCTCGGTTTTAAATCATTTGGATGCTGTATGTGATCTGAGTTACACAACTCACAGACCCTCATATCATTAATTGCTGGACCAATGTTGACTGCCACGCACTCTCTCCGGTAAAGACATTCGGTTTCGCAAGATTTGCTTGCTCCAATGGAAAGGTTTAAAAAGGTGTGGCCTTGAAGATACATATAAAGGCCATACTCCCGATCAAAAAACTTCAAATACCGAATGTGACCACAGGTATCTAAAAGGTACATTTAAAAAAAATAGCGATGTTAACGTCTATTGTATTTTATTTATTTTATTAGCTTTGCCCTTAAGAATACAGAAAAAAAAAAGACACTGAAGCCTGCAAACACTAGTAATAAGAACGTAACAATACACTAATAATAACTTAAATATTTGGGCAAGGACACCGCAACAGCTAAAGCCAATTACTGCCGACCCAAAAAATAAAAGGATATAAAAGTAGCAATTTAAATCAAATGCAGCAGCTAATTTCTTGGTCTAAAAACCTGGCTGTGTTACATTTCAAGCAAATACTTTTGAAGCTCCTTGGAGAGTCCGGGTCATAGTTTATTGCTACAGCCCGCGAGTAATAATCGTAAAGAACAGATTTAAAGTTCGCAAGAGTAACATTATCTAGGTCAAGTCTAGTAATAAGCAAGTTCCAGATTCTAGTGGTTCTAATGAAAAAAGATTTCTGAAAGGTAGAAGTCCTGCATTTTAGGCATAAAAGACTGAGAGCTCGTTACGGATATACGGGTCCTTCGCGCGCATTCGCGCACGAAGGGAACAACAGACGGATCTAAGTGAATCATATTATGCGTAGCCTTGTAAAAGTATACTAGTAGCTCGTGCCAGTAGCACACAGGAAGTAGGTTTACAGACATTAGTCTTTCTTTGTAAGAGATATTTGTTAAAAAAGGCAAGCAAAGAATGTATTTGATGGCTCGTCTTTGGATACTTTCGAGTTTAGAAATTAGTTCAATACCTTGGGGCGCCCAGATCTGGGTTGCGTAGCCAAGATGAGTACGAACTAGCCCGAGGTATAATGTGCGCCTTACGGAAGTACTGTGAATAAACCTAGAGTTCCTCCCAACGAAACCTAACAACTTGTTTGCGCGTGCAGCTTGGTGAGAGACTTGGGCGTGCCAAGTCAAGTCACAGTCCAAGGAGACGCCAAGGTCACGCTCTACGTCACAGGACTTGATGGTACCGCCGTTAACCTCGTAGCTCGTCCAGATGGGCTTGCGCTTCCTCGTAATGGTCTGAAGCTTGCATTTCTTATCATTGGAGGCTAGGCCATAGGCAGCGGACCATGAAGACAGATTATCCAGATCTTGTTGGAGAGCGGCGACATCATCCTTAGACATCACTACCTTGTATACTTTAGTGTCATCTGCAAACATTGCCACTTTGCTATTGAGGATAGAATCTGTAAGGTTGTTCACATATAACAAGAAGAGAGCAGGTCCGAGTATTGAACCCTGTGGGACTCCAGAGGTGACAGGTAGGTCACGTGATGTCGCGCCTAGTACGGTGACGCGTTCGCGCCTTCCACAGAGATACGCGTGAAACCATGTGAGCAGGTTCCCCCCGAAGCCAGCATCCCGCAGTTTTTCCATAAGGAGGTCATGTCTAACCTTATCAAAGGCTTTGGACATGTCTAAATACACACAATCTACTTGACCAGCTCTATCAAGAATAGCACCGATGTAATCTAGGGTCTCTAGTAGATTTGTGACACATGAGCGTCCACTCCGAAACCCGTGCTGACAGTCCGCAATCAGATCTTCTAATCGGTCATTAATGCAGCTCAAAACACAACATTCGATGACTTTAGAAATAATGCGAAGTAGGGAGATAGGCCTACGGTTTTCAACATGATCTTTTTTATCCTTCTTTTAGACAGGCACTACATTTGCCAATTTCCACTCAGACGGTATGTGGCCTTCCCCCAGAGACCTGTTGAACAACTTGCATAGTGGTGGAGCAATAGTAGTGGCGGTTTCCTTTAGGATTCTAGCCGGGATCTCATCTGGACCAGTGGCTTTGTTTGGGTCTAGTGATTTTAGGACAGCCTCAACTTTGCCGACGTGCAACACAATAGCGCTAAAGGGGGGTTCTGCGGCAGGGAATTTCCCTGCGCCGTTATCTACTTTGTCCTCTTCAAGAACAGAGAACACTGAAGTGAAATAGTTATTAAAAATGTCTGCGATTTCTTCTGGGGTGTCAGCGGTTTACACGTAGGTTACCAGTTGCCATGGAGACACTTTGTTGTATGTTGCGCGACTTTGAGCGAGATTTTAATACTGAACAGAGACGTTTGGGATTGATCTTGAACTCGATGTTAGCAGACTCAAAGAACTTGTCCCTGCTTTCTCTGATCGCGCGCTTTGCTTGTGAACGCAGAGTTTGAAATTTGACTTTTAGTGACTCCAACGGGTGCAATTTTAGTTTATGCGTACGGTTTCCTCTTTCTTGATAAGATTGATAACGGCACCTGTGAGCCAGGGCACAGGATTCCGACCTCTCAATCGCTTGGTTGGAATATTGTCTTTCACCGCAGCAAGAAATAGGTCTTTCCAGGTCTGCCAGCAGCTTTCAAGGTCGCCCTCACCCACCACACTTGTAAGATTAACTGAACACAGAGCGTCTCAACCACTTAGTCTTTTTTTAATATTCCACTAATAATTTCACCCACGTTAATTCAGAGAACGCGTTAAAAAAACATCAATGCACTCTTTCGTTCTCCCACGCTCCTCGACCGTGATTGTTTATAAATGAATAACCGATCCTTTGCAGACTGCTTGCTGGACAAAAACATAACACCACCAATAACAACAACAACAACAAGAACAGGTTACCATGAATGTTATAAGCAGCTAAATATTCCACAATGAAATTTAAAAAAACTTTGGAACTAAAATGGAGTATCCGTGAAATGATCAGAAGCTATTGATCGCCGGAGAGAGAACTAATGTTAGGTATGTTGGAAGCTTTTAGTTATTTTTTTTTTCTACTTTCAGACTTTTGCCTACCCCAGCGAGTTTTTGAATGACAAAAGGGATTTTCCCCGAAAAATTTCGCCAGAAATAATAGTCTGCCATGTCGAAGCCGTTAGACAACCTACAGGAGCTTTCCCACCGACCGAAGTAAATAACAAAACGAAATAACTAATTAATAAATTTCTTGAAGGATCACTAACTAGGAATTTAAATAAAATACGTCATGACAACCGTCAAACTGTTGTCGCTTAATTTCAGCCTTCCTTTTAGTTTATAATTTTTTATGCAGTGAGTAAATTGTTGCATTTCAAAGGGCAAGCTTTGTCGTCTCCACGGCAACGTCAAATTGATGTAGTTGCACACTCGTTTAATTACTGATTTAAAGTTCAGTATAAGAGAAAGAGCCTATAAGGCCCTTAAACCATCTCGATCATCCCATCGCCGAAAATTCGACACCGAATTTCCAGGGTTTTTTTTTGAAAACAGTTTTTAATTTACAACAGATGTGGTTCAAGAAACACATCCCCCATCCCCCTTGGGCGGGCACAAAAATTGTAGGCTAATCTATGTTGCCGTATATGATCGTTTGTGTCGTAAGCACAACAACGCAGCTGCATTTTTCTTGTCACTTTTTTCCTTTTCCTACTTGAATATCATGCATAAAAATACGTGTCTAAACTTACACTAGATACTGATTTTCTTCGAAGTTTGGTTTCTGTTAGTTTAAGGTTAGCCTCAGTGCAGTCTGGACTCAAAGAATGTCCGATACTGATTCCAAGTGAGAATTTTAGCGTTTGTTCTTATACGTAAGGAAAGGCCATTTTCTTTCCTTATGGTTGTAACAAATTTAGGGGTATGTAGTCAAACATTTTGAACTAAACGATAATGACTTTTAAATAAAAACATAAAAGTCATTTCAAAAAACTTGTCCAGTGCCGTCGAAACCGTCTTCAAGAATTTTGTTGCTGTTACATCGTAATCTATTCCGCCTTGTTTTTTTTCTCTTAGAGTTTTTGTTTTTAGGGCACTGACATTGCAAGTAATACTGTATCAACAACTTCAGCCGAAAATCATGGGACTTGACGGGTTGTTTTTCTTAGCATAGACTTTTCAGTTTGCGAATGGGAGGCAGTGAAAGTTATAAAAGTAAGCTGTAAGTTTAGTAAAGTACTAAGGTCTTGTTTATGAAGAAAATTGAAAAAGTCCTCCTTAAAGTAGCCTGCGAGAGCATCCGGTTTTTTGGACTCTAGTTTCAGGGAGAGAAGCGACGACCGGAAATACGTCTGCGGCTCGCAGGCTATCCTTAAAGGCTTTTTTGAAAATATTACACTTAGTAGCAAAACGAGAATGAAGGTGAATGTATAATGTGTGCATACATTAACAACTGACTTTAGTCATACCTTGATTTGCACTAGTAATGCAGCTTAGCCAAGCTCCCCAGAGAACACAGGCCAAGAAGAGTGCTTGAACAGATAAGCGACAACCAGCCATGCCGGATGAATTTGTCAGAATGCTACCCTTCTCGATTCTCGTCTTAATTTAAAGCTGAGATGTCACGAACTGGCAACCCAATCAGTTCAGTTTGACACGTTCTGTTATCAGTTGTCGTGTAAATTAATTTTCGAAGCTAACATTAACAGCCAGCAAAATTAAAACCTGCTCGTTAATTTTGACTTCCCTTCAGTGTCAATTTCATTTATCAACTCTAATTGCCTTTAATACAGCTAGCCACTAATTGCATTGAACTTCTTAACATCTGCCACAACGCCCGGAACGTTGAAAAGTTCTCGGTTAAATATCACCCGAAAGAAATTAAAAGATATTAGTCATCATGTTTTCGTTTTTGTTATTGTACGTTGGATTGTGCGTCGTGTTCAGTTGAAGTATGAGCAGCATTATGATATGAGCAGACTCAGTTAATTTCAAACTAATATTTTACCTAACTTCAATTCCGAGTGGATCTTGTTAGTTTGGCATGTTTTTCATAATATTTTAAGAGATATCATTCCGAGTGAAACTTTATCTTAGCTGGCAATTTCTGTTTCACTATTTAATATGGACCTTTTGGGATAAGGCCGTTTTTTTAATTCAAAACGTTTAGTGAGTTCTCTCCTTCCAAAAAAAAGTTTATCACTTGTTGGGTGCCTTTTATTAAATTTGAAATGACAAGAATATTACGCAATTCAAGGATCCGTCCTGATACTACATGTACGCATGTTCTGTCGTGAAATACAACTCACTTTGACTCTTAATTATAAGATGACTACCACACAGGTTGTCGAAACGTCAGTCACTGTCAACAACAACAGTCCTACAGACCTTGTCACGGTTTTCGACGCCATCAGTGACGAGTAGGCATTGCACACTCTTTAATGTCACAAACATACTCTTAGAATACAGCTTATTAAAGGCATTTTGCCGACAACTGAAAAAAAATATGATTTCTAAACTAAAGCTACAAAACAAAGGATTGTCCTAAAAACATTTTTGGGGAGTACCTGTGCTTAAATTTCTCCAGACGCTTGCTTTAGATTTCCCATATATTTGTCTGTAATTTTTCCCGGGACTTTCTTACAGACAAATGTATAGAAAATTTTAAAAAGTGGCTATAGGTCTTCTAACGCATGTAACGCCCTCAATTTTTTTTTAGTAGAATCCTTAGGAGTGAGGCTTTAGTTTACAATTCATATTTTTTTCAGGACAGCCGTACTACGGAAATTATTCGACATTAGATTCTCATACAAACACTGTAATTTCTCACGCTTTTGCCTACTCGTCAAGATGGCGTCGCAAACCTTGACAAGGTCTATTCAGGACTACGTTCATCCGGACGATCAAACTCAACCCGCTTTTGAAATGACTCCTGGGTTCAAACCTTTCACAAATGTAATAATGTCGTGAATTGTAATACCTGTCGTAAATTGTAATAACAGTCGTCGTGAATTGTAATACCTGCGGTAAATTGTAATAACAGTTGTCCAGAATTGTAATAACCAAACTATCGTAAGTTGTAATAACACGGTATTAACTAGCTTGAAAGAGTACGCAGTGATGAAGTATTTCTTCAACACATTTATGATGTCACTGATGACGTCATTTTACAAAGAAGTATGTGAATTATCAGTGATCAATTCGAAAATGAAATGCTCTGGTGTTTCCCAATCCCCGCGGGAACTAGATTAAAACTGGACCAGATAATATAGCCAAGAATAATGCGCCACTGTGACATGTTGCGTAGTGCTCACCAAATTCCTTGCCGTGCCAAAAAAAGAAAAAGAAACTTGAGAACGCGATGAATTACAGGAAGAGGAAATGTGACGTAGGCTTTTCTTAGGCTTTGCTTGAGTTTATTTCAAGGATTGAACTATGAAAGTTAAGTGCAAAGACGAGTTAGATTTTTGAGTTATACAAAGTGACGTCCGTTCGCCTTCTGCATCATCTGTGTATTTTGCGGGCATGAAAATTAGTTGTAGCTGTAGTGAGTTTAATTCGGCTTGTTCGAGAGGGTACTGACACGAACCTGATTTATTCATCGGAAAAAGACACATCCATTTAGCGAACTTTATCACTCATAAGTACCTCAAAAAGTGAACAGAAAAAAGGAAACGGCTGGCATAGTGAAGATGATGTGAACTGCGGAAATACAAATTTTAAATGAAGATATGATCGTCGCAGTGGCTCAGAGCATAGTGTTGAAATTTTATGGGAAAAACGAGTCTTGCAATCCTGTCACGGTTCATTTTGAATGGTTTTCCGTACAAATCTTGGCAAATTTTGAAATTTGAAATTTCCTTAACTGTCGCTTAATCTGTCCTTATAAAGGGGCTCGAATTCTCTAGGCTATATACTTTGCAGTTGCCTTAAGCCTCTGTTTCAAAGAGAGGATAAGTACAAATTGAGTTGAATGAGCTCATGATGAACTGAATTCTAGGATCCTTGTCGAATTTCTTTTCGTTATGTATGCGAGATAATAGAACAATCTTAGTTATCTAACGCCTTTAGGTGTTCTTGGTGAATAATTGTTCATTTTTAAGACTTATTACAAAATACGACAATGTGTTATTACAATTCACGACAGCTCGGCTTATTACAAATTACGACAACGAGTTATTACAATTTACAATAGCTTGGCTATTACAATTCTCGACAACAGTTATTACAATTTACGATAAGTGTTAGAATTCACGACCAATGTTATTTACGACAGGTACTACAATTCACGACAGAACATACGTATCCTAGTAGCTGGCGCGTATGTATAGGAAATTACTTTCAGTTACAATATGCAGTTAGTATACCAGAAAAAATCTCGATTTGCTTAAACAGGTGCCACGAGGAATCGATGGACGATTACTGTACCCTGCGAGCAGAGGCTAGATCAATTTTTTTTGCAGTGTAAGTGAAGTGCGTAGCCGAGTACTACTCGGTCGGCAGCTCACACCGCGAAAATGTAGACTCTGCTCGTAGGGTAGACGATTACAGAAATTTCCCGAAATTCTGTGCTGAAACTAGACTAGAATGCGTGTGAAAAAATTCTCTAAACGCCGAGCTGAGTGTGTTTGTTTTGATCAACGCTGCGTAATGATCGACCGGACTCTTCTCATATGTAAACCTCACCATTTTTTCCAGTGATAATAAAAAGTGCAAACTGTCGGTCTTATTGTGACCAATACTGACAGGTGATGTGTATTCACTTGCGACGTCAGGTAGTTATTTTCTAAGCACTAGAATAAACGAAAGTCATGTTTTTAGTTCCAATATGTTTTAATTTTTATGTTTAAAACGCGATTTTTTAGCTTTAAAAGAAAATATGCAACTTTTGTAGCCTTCCCCGGAATACAAGATGGCGGCCAAAAGGGGATTATGTGGGAAAAATTTAAATTTCGATTTTCAAAGTCTACATTAAGGCCTGTGCCTACCCTTATGACTACACTCAACCGTCAGATAGCCTGAGAAAACAGCCGACATATCACGACACCACAACTGGTTTCGCTGTGAAATGACGTCTGAGAAATGACTGCAGAAATTTCATACTGGTGAGGTGCCAATACCCAGATCTGTGAAGTGCTTCTGATTGGTCGTGAGCCGAGGGTAAATTGCATTCAGAGGCACTACTCAGATCTGGGTCTGACTCGTCTCCAGTCGTCTTCGCGCAACGCTCGCGGCAGGAGCAGGGGGTCATCACACCCCTCGCGCCACTAAGGAAAGACAGGGAGAGACGACTGGGAACGAGTCAGGATCTGGGTAGTGATACATGACGTCGCCAGTATGAAATTTCTGCAGTCATTTCCAAACGTCATTTTGCTGAGAAACCTGTGTTGGCGTCCCCAAATTTTGGCTGCTTTCTTCAAGTGACCATTGAGATTGTTGTCACAAATCAAAATCTTGACGATAGCAGCCAAGGAAAAGGTCTCAACTTAACCTGGATTCCACAACACTAGACAACTTGGGCAGTGACTACCAAGCACAAAACTCAGTTTTATTTTTCAGATTCAAAGTCGGTTGGTTAAACAACTGACGGCAAATAACCTACGATAATGAACAAAATCTACAACCGAAAGTTACTTTATACTTAAGACTGGTTTAAAGCAGCAGCAAGCTAATCATAAGGACCTTTTGTTACCTAATTAACAAGCATAATTCAAAACACTTGACCTGCGCCATTCTAAAGCAGCTCTGTGACTGGTCTGCTATGAGCACTTCTGTTTCGAATGTTTGTCCTTCCTTGGAGCGGAGGGCAAGTGCCCGAAACCAGGGCGGATATACCATTATGGGCCCTGCTCCAAACATCAGCTTTTAAGGTTCTTCTCGGTGGTGACTTCATTTTATAAACTCAATGGATGAAACTTTTTTTGTGAGTTGGTCTCTCTCACCGATGCAGTACCACAGATTGTGTTGAAACTATAAATTCCTTCAACCACATTATCATTTTAAACTGAACCAACGAATCACAGAGATGCACATTTTCATGTGCATTTTATGAGGATAAAACATTCCTTTGAAGTCGATAACCAACCAAAGGGCCGCTTTGGATTTGTGCAGGGCATCGCGTGAATGCATTTTCTTAGTCATTTGGTTTAAAATAAAAAGGCATAACACTTTATATAAGCCGTCCACAGAAGTGTTGATGCACACACGCGCGAGTCCACCTGGTCTCGATTTCTTCGATCCTTTCCAGCAGTCTGCGCTAGGTACGTGCGTGATTTAATGCCTGTTGCCGAAATGAAGGAATGTTTATGTCTCCCCACATTGCTGAAGTNGCCAATACCCAGATCTGTGAAGTGCTTCTGATTGGTCGTGAGCCGAGGGTAAATTGCATTCAGAGGCACTACTCAGATCTGGGTCTGACTCGTCTCCAGTCGTCTTCGCGCAACGCTCGCGGCAGGAGCAGGGGGTCATCACACCCCTCGCGCCACTAAGGAAAGACAGGGAGAGACGACTGGGAACGAGTCAGGATCTGGGTAGTGATACATGACGTCGCCAGTATGAAA